AGGTGTGTGAGAGTGTGTGAGTGTGTGTGAGTGTGTGTGTGAGAGAGAGAGTGTGTGATTTGGAGGTGCTTTCTCCCTCTCCCTTTCTCTGTCTCTTTCTGGTGAGCACACACACCCTCTGATAATTGTTTTTTTAGTTAAAATAATAGCAGGGTTTTGATTTCCCACGGCTACCATGTACAAGACCAGCAGCCCAGGCTACAGTTACGACTTCAGAGGGCTCGATCTGCCTGAACTTCATGCAAGTCAATCAACAAGGAAGCCATCCATGAGTGAATAGTTTTTCGGTTTGTTTGTTTTTTAAAGAGAGATTTTTGCTATAGGGCATGTACGCTCGCCAGAGACACAGAGAGAAACGGAGAGACAGAAAGCGAGAAATCACCCCCGGAGGGATGGCCACGCTCCTCCATTCTCCTCCTGGGATTTTTGGCATGCATACACACGTGCCCTGCGTGAGTTCTAAGTTACCAGGTCCGGAACTTGAACTGCGGTCGACCACATGGGAGTCCAGCAATGTAACCATGACACTATTTGCTGGTCCCAAATAGGTCTTATACAACCAAAACCAACCAACCAAACAACAACACAAAGGAAAGAACCAAAACACTGAAGTGAGAAACATTTTCCTGGGAGTAGACTGTAAGAAGAAATTACAATTCAAACCCTCCTACTAGAGTCTATGAGGTAACACGATAGAGGTTGTCTTTGCGATTTTGTACCCTTTCAAAGAATGGCTGTCTCTTCTATCCACCAACTTTCAAGGATTGGGCTTCAAAATCAAATTGTAACTAATTCCATAAAGGAAAACTTGCCAAAATAGCAGGACCCAGACAGCGCTCCCAGATGCTCTACCTTGCACAGGGAGAGAGCCGGAGGAGCCGAGAGACACAGAACGCAGCCCTGACTACCCGCCTGGCACCAGCTGTGTCCGCCGAGCACCTGGCAAGTCCTCCAGGGAGCCGAAATTCTCGGGCAGATGACTGATTAGCTCCACGTCCATGTTTTGATACTGCACATGTAAGCAGCAAAGGCAATATGCCGTCAGGAGGACTCCGGGGCTTGACGCATGCCTCTGTCCATGTGGCCATGGTCATCTCAGCTCGGGGCGAACTCTGGAGACCCACAGATGACGGTGAAAGTCTTTTTCTGATTTAACAAAGAACTCTGAATCTTCTCATCTAGACAGGCACGGAGCAGAGAGGCTAGCACTCGTGCTGTGAGGCACGGGAGGCGTCATTTCGGTCGCAAGGCCCTAAGAGCAGGTGTTTCTGATCAGCTGCCTCCACCATGGAAGCGCCGCAGTAGGGTCCCTGAAAACCATGTGCCTCAGTGTCAGGAGACGAACCAGCCCAGACTGTCCTCCCAGAAGGACACGATGACCCACGTGGAGTCAGGGCGCGCAGGCTCTGCACACCACACCACGATGCTGCTCTCTGTAAATGTTACAAATGTGACGGTGTGAATTTATTCTAACAGGGTAAGGCTGGAGCTGAATGTTTTTCTTGCATGATTTTAACAGAAACCCCTGTGCTATGCTCTAAGTCTGAACTATGCTAGACGACAAAACGTCGGGGATTGTTTGTAGCTTCAGGTCCTCGGTGGCTCCTCGGTGGTTCACCCGTGTGCCCGCCCCACTGCTTTATGAACTGTCGTTTCACCACGCACCCTGCAGCACAAGGCCCGGGGGCTGATACTCAAAAATAAAAAGGGAGGGGTGTGAGAGAAGAAGGAGTTAGGGTCGGCTGTTTAAACCTCGAGTTTGTGATGCAGAAAAGGTCTGCATAAGGCAGGCCTGCGGAGCGGACACTCGGTCCCGGGGGAGTGGCTATAGGAGAACCGTCCCCACTCTCCTCCCCCTGGCAGCTGGAGAGGAGCCAGGGCACGTCCAAACTGCAGATGAGTCACAAGTTACTCAGCGTGTATTTGCGGGATCCGCGGCAGGACTGTGATTTGCAGTGAAGCAGCTAGTCTCCAGAGACAGGGGGGACAGAGACCCGTCCTCAACAGCCCATTCCCACAGCGCCTTCTCATTATCTCGGTCACCACCCAGCCTGCCTCGCCAGACTTCTGCCATTCCCCGAGCCGTTCAGGTCAACGTGAAGGCCACCGAGAAGTAGGAACCACTGGCTGGGCCATGGAGGCGCGTGCTGCTGAGAAGCTGTGTGTCATGAGCTCAGATCACATGAGCGACTCGGGGGCAAGTCCTGGCCCAATGGTAGCAGGTGTCTGCAATCCCAGCTACTTGGGGGCTGAAATATGGCGAGAGCCTGTCTTAGGAAAAAAAAAAAAAAAAAAGAAAATATTGCATCATTGAAAAAGTCATGATGCCTTTCTGCATAGAAAAACACATCATGGGACCAGCAGTTAGCGTAGTGGCTATGTCGCTGGACTCCCATGTAGTTGACCGTGGGTCGCGTCCTGGACTCAGTAGCTTAAAACTCACACCAGGCGCCTGTGTGTGCGTGCCTGCCCAAGATCTCGAGAGGGGAATGGAGGAGAAGGGATTGTGGCATGGCCATCCGAGGAGAAGGGATTGTGGCTTGGCCATCCCCCCGGGGGTGATTTCTCACTTTCTGTCTCTCTATCTTCCTCTGTCTGTCTGGCGAGCACACACGCCCTATAGCAAAAACCTCTCTAAAAAAAAAACAAACAAACAAACAAAAAAAAACAACACATGACTTTTCTGCCAACCCAATACTATTACTCATTCCTTTAGAAAATGTATCCCTTTTTTATTAAAGAGATATTTTTTGCTAAAGGGCACAAGTGCTCGCTGGAGAGACAAAGACAGAGAGAGAGAAAGTGAGAAAACACCCCCCAGAGGGATGGCCCCACTGCAATCCTTTCTCCTCCATTCTCTCTTGGGATTTTGGGCATGTGTGCACATGCGCTCAGCATGAGTTTTAAGCTGCAAGGTCTGGGACTCGAACCATAGTCAGCCAAGTGGGAGTCCAGTGCCTTCACTATTACACTACCTGCTGGCCCAGAAGACTCATCCTATTTACCCACTTATCTATTCACTTAGTCAAATCATGACTCTGGTGTTTCAACCATACTTCTGTTCAGGCTTTCCTAGCCCTTCTGGAAAATCAAGTTATCCAAAGAAAAAGGTCTGTCTATGTAGATTGAAACTATCTAAAATATTGAAATTGTATTTTTCATTATGTTGAGAAAGTGCACCAAATGGAGTAACTTTTTTTGTTTAAATCCAACGTACACACAATAGGCAAAAGTAGGAACAACCCAAATGTCAGAGCGGATAAACATGGGGAGGCACCAGCAGGTGGTGTGGTGGTTAAGGCGCTGGACTCCCACGTGGCCCACCACGGTTCAAGTCCCAGACCCAGCAGCTTGAAGATCAGGCCAGGCACATGTGTGTGCGAGCCCAAAATCCTGAGAAGGGAATGGAGGAGAAGGGATTTCAGTATGGCCATCCCCTGTGAGCAGTGATTTCTCTGTCACTTCCCCTCTTTCTATCTCTGTCCAGGAAGTGCAAGCACCTTGTAGCAGATGTTTTTTTTATTATGGATCAGCATCAGTTATTCAATTTTCCAAGGTGCAGGTTGTTGGATATTTTTTGTTTGTTTTTGTTTTTTTGCCATAGGGTGCATTCACTCGCCAGACAGACAGAGAGAGACAGAGAGACAGAAAATGAGAAATCACCCCCCAGGGGGGATGGCCACGCCGCAGTCCCTTCTCCTCCATTCTCCTCTTGGGATCTTGGGCATGCCCGCACACGTGCCCGGCGTGAGTTTTAAGCCACCAGGTCCGGGACGTGAACCATGGTCGACTACGTGAGAGTCCTGCAACATAGCCATTACACTAACTGCTGGTCCCCCAAGGTGCAGGTTTTAACATGAGAGAAATGAGCTCAAGATGGTGGAAGCGACATAATTCTTCAAACTGGGCTCATAAAAATGTGATTTTAGTGGCTTTTCCCATATTTGGATGGCTCAATACTCCAAAATGGTTTCAAATGTACTCAGTAGCTACTAGGAAATGCCATTTAGTCTTTAAAAAAAAAAAAAAAAAAAAAAGTTTCTGCCATAGGGCACGTGTGCTTCCTGAAGAGAGAGTCAGTGAGAAGGAAAGTGAGAAATCACCCTCCGGGGTATGTCCACACCACAATCCTGCCTCCTCCAGTATGTGGGGCATGTACACACACTAGTCCAGTGTAATTTTCAAGTCATCGGGTCTGGGACTTGAACCACAAATGACCACATGGGAGTCTAGCACCTTAGCCACCACGCCATCTGCTGGCTCCACTCAACTTTGTATTCTAAAATGTTGTTAACTCCTTTATCTGTGGCTTCTTTCATTTCTACCTTTCTCTCAAATTTTACATGCCTCTGTGGCTAAAATAAAATAAATCTCTATATGTATAACACTCCCATATATATCCTAAGACCCTGTGAATTCTTGATTTTCATCTTGATAAGCCTGAAAAAGAAAACGTCACAAAACAGCAAGTATCTGATTCTCCGAAGTGTGTTTTCAAGTGCGTCTGAATCAAAGCCAGAGTGAGTCTTTTCATTCTGAGAATGGAAAATGGTGAGCTAGCCCTTGATACTCGTTTTCTACAGTACTCAGAGTAAACGGAATTACCAGCAACTCTATCTCTTAACTTATTAAAAACTGTGTGTTGTTTGAAAAGGAATTTGAAATAACCTCTTGGGGGGAAACGGTGAGATTTTTTTTTCCATCCAGGTTCTGCGGAGGAAACCATCTTAATGCCTTCATAAATAATGAAAGCCTTTCACTCCGGAAGCGCTTAAAAGGCAATTAGCTCATTATGTTCAGAGGTTTCATCCAAGTAGGTTCAGCCACACTTGAGAGCAGGTGCCTGCAATTAACTGTGGTCCTCTAGCCCGACTCATTCCCCGGCTCTGGAGGGTGCTGGGAGCACCGACTAGGACCAGGCTGCATTCATGAGGAAGACAGCACTGCCAGGTTGCAGGTCGCCCCTGAGAAACGCGTCAGTGCTGCAACGCCGGCCTTACCCTAAGCCCATCTGCCGGCAGGCCAGCTGACTCAGGGTCTCCTGCCAGCCGTCCGCGCACACGTGCTGCTCCGTGGCCGATCTGTGAACAGTCAGGAGCGAAGGGGCGTTCACGTCCTCAGAGAGCGTCACTGGGGAAGGGAGGAGAGAAACTCTGATTAAAACCATTTCTCCCATGACACCAAATAACTGCGTTTCCTTGCTTCATTTGCATAGATTCATTTTCGTTTCTTCCATTAAGAGCTACTTGGTGAGTAGCTAGCCCCTGCAAATCACCATTGTTAAGTGTGATGGAGGACTTACAATGACTGAGAGATGTTTTCTGCCCCCGAAGAATTCCAGTGAAGACAGATAGGCAAGCTCCTTACTTTAGGAGGCAGAAGATGCCAGAGGCAGGGCCCACACCCTAGTTTACCCAAGGCTTTGCACACTTAAAGGAGCAGGTGGTAACCCCACTCACCTCATTTCCTTTAGAGAAAGCCAGTGTGCCAGAGGGATGCTAATTTAAGGTTACTTTGACATGTGCGCTAATGGCTGTTCTGAAGGAAGCATCTTCTGGCCAGCAGGTGGCGTGATGGCTAAGGAGCTGGACACTCCCACGTGGCTGACCGTGGTCTGAGGCTCAGATGCAGCAACTTGCTTTCTCACTTTCCTTCTCTTTCTCTGTCTCTCTTTGGTGAGCACACATGCCCTAAGGCAAATTAAAATAATAATTATTATTATAATAAAATTAAATAATTCTAAGCAATAATTCTTTAAAAAGATAAAAGTATCCTCTGCACTTAGTCACAGATCACTGATGAAGCGTTGCACGACTGATCAGGCCCGTGAGAACCATGATTTGGCGTGCTCGGGCCAAGGACAGGAATAAGGGCTGAGTGAATAGAAGGGGTGATGAGTACGGGACAAGGGCATCAATGCAAGTCCGACTGCAGGTGCAACGTTGCACACAGCGGGAGGCGCCTCTGGGTCCTCTCCACGCACGGCACTAGGTGACTACAAGTCCCATTTTCTTTCTTTCTTTCTTTCTTTCTTTTTTTTAGAGGTTTTTGTTATAGGGCACATGAATTCACCAGAAAGACAAAGAGCAGAGAGACAGAAAGAGACAGAGAGACATAAAGTGAGAAATCACCCCCCAGGGGGGATGGCCATGCCGCAATCCCTTCTCCTCCATTCTCCTCTCGGGATCTTGGGCACGCACACACACGCGCCCAGAGTGAGTTTAAGCCACTGGGTCTGGGACTTGAACCACAGTCGGCTATATGGGAGTCCAGCGACATAGCCATTACGCTAACTGCTGATCCCTACAAGTCCCGTTTTGACCTGGATGAAGAGTATCAGGAAAAGGAAGGTACCACTTTAATACTTTATTAGGGGAGGTGTAGATGACAAAGAATGCCAGAAAGCTGATTCTGGATGGTAAATAGGAGTTTAAAAACCCACTAGATGGCATGATGGCTACGTCTCTGGACTCCCGCGGTTTGAGTCCCAGACCCGATGGCTTAAACTCACACCAGGTCCATGTGTGTACGCCTAAAACCCTGAGAGGAGATTGGAGGAGAAGGGGATTGCGGCATAGCCATCCCCCCAGGGGCTGATTTCTCACTTTGTCTCTCTGACTCTGCCTGTCTCTCCAACCAAGTACACGTGCCTAATAGCAAAAGTCTCTCTAAAAACAAAACAAAACAAAACAAAAACAATACCTATTCCAACAATTACACTGTTAGAAAACTGTTCTTACATGTAATATAGACATTTCCGATATACAAAGTCACTTGGTGGGGAGAGTGGGTTTCTGTGACTTGTAAGTTACGTGCAGGAATCGCCACCGTCAGCTTCTCTAACAGGAGAGCAGGGCAGATGGACGTGGCAGGTCCACGGGCCACTGAGGACGGCTGACAGGTGAGCGTGCACAGCAGGTGCAGGGCGAGCACAGCTTACCACAGTCCCACTCGTCCGAGCTGTCTGCACAGTCTGACACGCCGTCACACCACAGGGCACGGGGCACGCACGCGTGGTTTGCACATTCCAGCTCGTCCTCTTGGCAAGAGGCTGGCACAGGGAACAAGAAGCATGAAAACTGTGAGTTTGATATGAACAGGATCACCGCTCACATGCACCAGGAGCACGGGAGGGGAAGCACGAGGACGCTGACGCTTTTCCAAGCAGGTGACGAGGCAGAAGGGCAGAGGATGAGGTGGCATCCTACGGATGTCGATCACGCAAACAGAATTATTGTCTCCAAGTGACTAGTTCTGTAGTTCTAACCATCAGACTGGAAAAAAAACAATGCAACACAGGCCAGCAGGTAGTGTGGTAGTTAGGCACTGGACTTCCACATGGTCGACTGTGGTTCGAGTCTCAGGCCTGGCAGCTCGTTTTCTCACTTTCCTTTTCTTTCTCTATCTCTCTCTCTCTGGTAAGCACATAGATATTGTAGCAAATTTAAAAATAATATACTACTACTAATAATAATAATAAATTAAACAATTCTAAAAAGAAAAAATGCTATGCATAGCAGCAGAAATATCAAGGAGTTCAAAGACAGGGTTGAAATTAGCCCAGGCTGGGAACCAGCAGTTAGCATAATGGCTATGTCGCTGGACTCCCACGTGGTCGACTGAGGTTCACGTCCCGGACCCAGTGGCTTAAAACTCACGCCGGGCGAGTGTGCGTGCGTGCCCAAGATCCCGAGAGGAGAATGGAGGAGAAGGGATTGCGGCGTGACCATCCCCCCTGGGGGGTGATTTCTCGCTTTCTGTCTCTCTGTCTCTCTCTGTCTGTCTGGCGAGCGCACGCGCCCTACAGTAAAAACCTCTCCAAAAAAAAAAAAAAAATTAGCACGGGCTGGCATGAGAGGGGAGCAGCAAAGCACCACGAGAGGAAAACGAGCTCTGCCCACACAGACAGAGTGAGTTTATTTAAAAACTAAAAACAAAACAATGTAACTCTACATTAAAAGATTCTGAGTCATATATACTTTTCTCTAGTGCTTTTAAAAATAGTAGTGAACTGCGACCAGCAGATAGCGTAATGGCTATGTCTCTGGACTCCCATGTAGTCCACTGCGGTTCGAGTCCCAGACCTGGTGGCTTAAAAACTCACGCCAGGCGCGTGTGCGTGCGTGCCCAAGATCCCGAGAGGAGAATGGAGGAGAAGGGATTGTGGCGTGGCCCTCTCCCGTGGGGGTGATTTCTCGCTTTCTGTCTCTTTGTCTCTCTCTTTCTGGAGAGCGCACGCGCCCTATAGCGAAAACCTCCCGCCCCCCGCAAAAAAAAGGTAGTGAACTCTCTTGATCTCATATTTAGCCTCCATTTCCTTCCTTCCTGATTTAAAGAGAACCTGGTTTTGTTCAAGCCTCTAGACCACCCATCCCAACTGCAGAGAAAACTCCTGTGTAGTCTCAGCTGGACATGGCATTCTGACGACAATCTTCCCCCCAGTGCAGTGACTAGGCCAGGAGTAAGCTCTGATTCACCATCAGGGCCTTGGTCTACAGCTCGTGGGTTGCACTTCGTGAGAGAGGCCTGCCTGGACTGCTGGGCCAGCTGTGTGACAGGACAACCTGGCGGAAACAGTTCCTGTTTCTAATCGGCACACCCCGCATGATGCTTCCTCCTCGCAACCCTGTGGCTGATAGAAAGCATCTTTTTAAGCCTACACAGAGGCTCCTGAATGCCAGCTCTGACTGCTAAAAGCCCACATCATGCCCTATGCAATGTTTTATTCAGATAACGGTATAGAAGGGGTCTTCAAAAGCTCATGAAAAATGTGAAGTATGGAAAAGCCATGCATGCATTTCAAAACTACTTTGCACCAAAATAAACTTGTAGTTTAATTCCATTGTTCCCTTGAGCTTGTTGAGGCCTCTTTATATAATGAACCCAAGAGAAATGCTCCATCTCATTTAATTTTGATTTTTGCATATTGTTTTATGTTCCTGCTTCTGAATAGTTGGGGTTCCTTATTTTTTCATGTTGTAGATAAGGCTAGAGGAATACGTGTGTATATATTTCACACGTTTGATTATCTTCTTGGCATATATCTCTACAAGTGGAATTTTGGTCAAAAGGTCTAAACATATTAAAACCTTTCGAGGTATCTTCTAAATTTCTGGCATGCGTTCACAGGGAGAGGCAGCTGGTGTTTCAGACGGAAGTGTGGTGTTGCCAAGGGCAGGTGAACACTTACAGCAGTTCTTTTCATCCATGCCGTCGGGGCAGTCTGGGAACCCGTCGCAGATCACTGTGTGCTTTAGACACTGTTTGTTGGACGGGCATTCCCAAAGATCTCTCTCTTTACAACCTGCAGCCAGAAGAAAAGGTTATTTGCAATAGGAAGGGACTGGGAGGAAGGAGGCATTGGAGTACCAGTGCAGGAGGGTTACTACATAAAGGCATGATTTCAGAGCCGCAGGGTGGTACAGGAGCAAACCGACGTTCTGGAGAGCAGTCCTATGTGAGAGGGTTTCTGGGTCAAGTCCAGACCTCCCTGAGCGCACAGGCACACGCCTGGTTGTGGTCCAGGATGGCTGAGTGAGGCCGGGGCGGGGCTGGGGCCATGGTGCGGAGATCCTGTCCCAGCAGGACCTGGTAGACCTGGGTGCTACTCTCTCAGTCTTCCTGTCTCTCTCCCACGGAAAATATAGATTAGTTAAAAATAAAAAGAAAGGAAGGAAGAGAGAAAAGAAAAAAGAAAATGTTTTTGTTTTGTTTTAAAAAAAGGACTTGATTTTAGATCCAGCAGGTGGCGTGGTGGTGAAGGCACTAGACTCTTACACATAGTTGATCACAGCTCAAGTCCTGGACATGGTGGCTTGAAACTCACGCAGTGCACGTGTGCCCAAAATTCCAGGAGGAGGGTGGAAAAGGGATTGTGGCGTGGCTATCCCCCCTAGGGGGGTGATTTCTCAGTTTTCCTCTCACTGCCTCTCTCTGTCTTTCTCTGGAGTGTGCACACACCCTATGGCAAAAACCTTAAAAGAAAGAAGAACAAAGAAGAGGGTATGATCCCCTTCTTCCTCGGGAGCCTTGGCTCCTGTCACCAAGAGTAATGTAATTTTGAAAGTGAGACTACCCCATAATCTCCATGCTGAAATGTAAACGCACAGTTCTGCTAGCAGAAGAGCAAAAGCAACATACGAGAAATGGAAAAAGTAAAGTAAAAGGCAGGTGTACACCAGGGCTCATCTTTAGCTGCTCCTTTTGCTTTCCGAGTCAATTTGCCAACACATAAGACTTATTTATGGGAACCAGCAGTTAGTGTAATGGCTATGTCGCTGGACTCCCACGTAGTCGACCGCGGTTCGTGTCCTGGACCCGGTGGCTTAAAACTCACGCCGGGCGCGTGTGCGTGCGTGCCCAAGATCCCGAGAGGAGAATGGAGGAGAAGGGATTGCAGCGTGACCATCCCCCCTGGGGGGTGATTTCTCGCTTTCTGTCTCTATGTCTCTCTCTGTCTGGCGAGCGCACGCGCCCTACAGTGAAAATCTCTCAAAAAAAAAAAGACTTATTTATAAAATTACGAGATATGCTTTTAAGCAAATATGCCCAAACCTAGTGATATGAACGCATATTTTCTTAAAATGTAATATAGTTTAGCAAATTGAGAGGCAGTCTGTACATTAGCAAAAGAGGCTCTACCAGGACCAGCAGATGGTGTAGTGGTTACATTGCTGGACTCCCACATGGCCGACCATGGTTCGAGTCCCAGACGTGGAGGCTTGAAACTCACACTGGGTACGTGTGCATGCACGTCCCAAGTCCTGGTATAATGGAGGAGAAGGGATTGCAGTGTGGCCATCCCTCCTGGGGGTGAGTTTTTCCTTTCTGTCTGTCTCTCCAGCAAGCACACATGCCCTATAGCAAAAAACCTCTCTTAAATTTTATTTTATTTTTTTAAAAAAAGAGACTCAGCCTATTACAGATACTGACAAAACTATTATAGTTTATGAGCCATTCACTTAGAGTAGTCAGAGTTCTAAGGTTGGAACGTTTACTGATTGATATAAGAAATGAGTATAACTTGCACAGGATTATGGGAGTAAGCCGACCACTTGAACTGTAATTTGCCTATGAAATTGCAAGGGCTGGTGATGAACTTCAGAAATGCCACTCAATTCAAGCACAGTCTAATGTGCTTCTGACACCTCAGTCAGATCCCTGCCCTTGACAGGCTGTGACGTAGAGGAGACCACATGGCATTCAACTCCGAGTACCCCCGCCTCTCAGTGACCAAACGACAACTTACTGACCAAGTTATTTCTCATCTGACCTAGTGCAAGTAATTCAGACAAATGCCATAGATGATTGACTTGGGTTTTAAAAAATTCAATTTGAGAAAAAAAGACCCTTTTTTCAAAATTCTTATTTAAAACCATTATCAGTAAGTCACCACTGGGTACAAAGGGAACCCTCCGACACTGTTGGCAAGAATACATATTGGTACAGCCCCTATGGAAGTTCCTCAAAAACCTACAGATAGAACCTACCACACGGCCCAGTAACCCCCCTCCTGGGTATTAACCCGAAGGAGAGGAGAGCACACATCAGAAGGACACTCGCTCTTCCATGTTTATCGTAGCACTGTTTGTAATTGCGAAGACATGAATCAACCCAAGTTCTAAAAACTGGTGACTGGGTTAAAAAACTGTGGCTCATATACACTATGGATTATTGGTCATAAGGACCAATGAGACACTGTCATTTGTCTCCACGTGGTGGAATATGTCAGAGAGACCGCTAAGTAAGCCAGCCTATGAAAGACAAACACTGCATATCCCTGCTCAGTATATAGTGAATGCCTGCATTCTATGAACGAAATGGAATGATTTGGAACTATATTAGAAAGGAGAGGTTAAAAAAAAGTAGCAGAAAGAAATTTTACAATGAGATATTAATAAAATGAGATTTAGTATGTTTTGCCATCCAAATACATAGGAAAAATAAGTAGTGATAGTCCTTCCCTGGCCATTGACTGGAAGTGGTCTTAGGATCAGGAATTCATGGGAATGTCAGCTGGAATTTTCAGCTGGCAGAGGACACAGACATCATCTGGAATGTTCTGAACGTCTATGGGAATTTGGAAAGGAGCTTGAAACCTGTCCCCTGGGCTAGTTCCTGCTTATTCCACCAAAACACAAGGAACTCAGAAAAGAGGATCCTACATCTCACAGTGCCCCATCAGCTCCCGGACCGCTTCTCTTGTGGCAAAACATACCACTTGCTAACAGAGCATGAAAGAGAGCAGTACAAGTCTTTCTGACTGTTTGCAAGGAACCCTCCGTGAGCGTATGGGGAAGAACTTGCACATTTGGAACAAGCTGATAAAAGACAAGAGGAGACGTGCAGGAGCATCAGGCCTCTGAACTGCACCCTCACAGACAACAGGAACACCGACCTAAGAGGCAACGTTGTTATCCGCTCTATAGCCACCCCCTCCAGGTGAGTTCTAGCCCTCTCAGTAACACCGCGATGTCAGTGATACGACTACCATTTTATAAGCGAGGAAACGGAAGTTTAGAGAAATTAAATAAACTGCTCCAAATCACAGCCCTATGAGAAAAGATCCAAGGGGGTCCAGGTACCAGCCTCTGGCTGCAGGTCCTTTGTAAACCAGGACTGTGCACGCGGAAGGGGGAGGAGTGGAGGAAGGGCAGCGGCAGAGGCCCAACCAGGACCAACTCTAGGTCCAGATCTCACTGGTGGTGTGTGCCTGGAACGCTACCTAACTTTCCTGAATTTCCGTTTCCAGATCTCTAAAACGATGATAAAGCTTTCTATAATTATGGCTGCTATAAACATTAAAAACGTACTCTCTAAGACCTCATTCCCCTCTGCACCTTCTCTTTCCTCAGAGAAATTTGCACAGCCTCCTCCATCCTCTGTGAAGTTTAGTAGCATATATGAAACAGGATGAAAAGGCTGGGACACTGGGGCCGGCAGGCGGCATAGTGGTTAAGGCACTGGACTCCCACATGGTCTACCATGGTTCGAGTCCTAGACCCAGTGGCTTGAAACTCATCCTGGGCGCGTGTGCGTGCATGCCCAAGATCCCGAGAGGAGAATGGAGGAGAAGGGATGTGGGACATGGCCATCCCCCTGGGGGGTGATTTCTCACTTTCTATATCTCTGTCTCTCTCATCTCTCTCTCTCTCTCTGGAAATCTCTCTGGAAGACAAAACGAAACAGGCAGAGACGGTAGCCACGTGGAGGAGGATAGTTACTTGAGAAGAAACTGCTCTCTACAGCAGCATTGCAATCCCAGTGTACGTTTTGAACAGGTATGACGCCCTCACAATGCCAGGCAGGCCGGGGGGCGCGGGGTGCTGAACGTGGCTGCAGGCTGTGACCTCCAACACCACTGCTGGCAGTGTGACAGCCACCCAGTCCGGGGCAGGGGCTCACCCGGCGACGGGGACACCAAGTGCCAGTGACCAGCTCACCCGAGATGGCCTGGGACGGTCCGTACTCAAGCACCAAGTGTCCCTGTCCCAAGAATCCCCCTTTCATCCTAGCAGTCGGGATGACCGGTGACCCAGGCATGCCAAGCTCTGCCTGGCTCTCTGCTCGCTCACTCCCTCTTTCCTGCACCGCGAAGCTAGCTGCTGTCGAGGCAGCCCCACTGAGCTGGGCGCCTTGTTTCTCCACCAAAAAAGAAAAGCAGGTGCGATTACAGGTAAAATGACAGGGGCCAGCAGGGGCCAGAGTGGGTGTGTCGCTGGACTCCCACGTGGCCAACCGCAGGTCAAGGCCCAGACCCAGTGGCTTCAAAATCACGCCGGTACTTGTGTGTGTGTGCCCAAGATCCTGGGAGGAGGATGGAGGAGGGACTGTGGTGTGGCCATTACTCTTGGGGGTGATTTCTCACCTTCCTTCTCTCTGTCTCTGTCTCTCTCTCTCCACCAGCACATGTACCCTATGGCAAAAAACTCTTAAAAACAAACAAACAGAAGTAAAGACAACAGATTTCCTTAAAGCAGATGCGTCTTACTTAGCTAGAACGTCTTAGTTATCCAGTGGGGTAAGAAGGCCCACTCACCCTTTCAGCATGACCTGCACGGAACAGAAAATATTCTGCCCTTGAGGGTGGAGCTGCTCGTGAGGCAGGAGGTGGGTGATTCCGCGCACCCCTTCCAGCAGCAGCTTTGGACATGACCCTAGAGCCGGTCACAGGAGCTGTGGCAGCGGGGCTCAGGTCCAGTGGGCGAGAAGACCCCTCCAGAGCATGCGCAACCTTGGGCAAGGAGACCCTCCCCTTAAAGCCCCCAGAGCTCCATGCCAGCAGTCAGGCCACACCCGCTGCAG